TTGAAGTCTACGGTTACCCTGGTAACGGCGACCATATTGAAAATAAACAACTTTCAAAACAGACAGTAAAAAGGATTTTCTATTCAACAACCAAATTTGTTCAAATTTTGTACATTGATAGGTATACTCAAAACAACATTTTGTACAGATGGGATCTTAGATAATCTATCTTAATTAGGAAAAAAAAGTTTGAGAAGGATGACTGACCTATTCCTTAATGCCTCTGTATTTGATTACATAATAATCCATGTAACTCACTTATGAATGAATCGATTTGATTTTCCACCTGTATAAAGTTAGGTTATGGTGTGAATAACAAGCCCTGAAATTTCATTGGAATCAAATAGAAAATACAAAAGTAGATGAGAAAAGCAATAAAAAATTGAAGTATTGAGAATAAACTACATTTTGTTACATAATAGGCAAATAAAAGTTCTAGAACAGAAAATTTGAAAGATGATGATTGCAACACAAAGAGTAAGCATTTTTTAGATTTACAAGTGGTTGAAGTTTTATAATACGTAAAAGGTCCAGATACCAGTACATTGGCCCAAATTCGTCAATTTAAAACCAGCTCCCCAATACCCTTTAATTTATTACGAACGCATGATCATTTCATCTTCCAAGAACAATGCATTCGCTCACAACAACTAGGTTAAGACAATCGCTCGAAAACAAAGTGAGACCATGAGAGACGTCTTTCGTTTTTTTGTTTTTTTGTTTTTGTTTTTTGTTTTGGTCTCCTTTTTCTCACGTGCTCGTGTTTTTCCGACACCATACAACGGGCCCCCTACTGCGATGGAATGCCCAGGTTACATGACAAGTTAGACAGTTGACAGGAATGTTATTATGTTTAACAATAATTAGGTAGGAGTACAACGTCTTTTGAGGCATAATACTATCGTCAACGCAGACCTTGTTAAATTGTGAAATTAATGACAGGAAAAACTGAGTATAATCGAGTGAATGATGCCTTTGCTCATAAATAAAGCAAATGACCTTGCAAGAACTGTTGTCTGTTTAAGTGTCCTAGGAGGCACAGAGATCGAAGTGAAAAAAGTGTGAGAACAAAACTTAACTGTCAGACAAGGGTAAATAAGTGCAAATGTATGTGACTGTGTGAGTGTGTGTATTTGGTGTATGTGTGTGTGTGTGTGTGTGTGTGTGTGTGTGTGTGTGTGTGTGTGTGTATGTGTGTGTATGTTTGTGCTGGTGTCCTCTCGTGTGTGTGTTTGTGTGTATGTGTCTTTGTGTGTATG